ATGTAGTTCAGGTGGGTCTTGAACCCACTATGCAAAATACCCACCATCCAAATTTAAAGGGGCAGAGGTTTGTTTAGCTCAGTCTGTAGAAGTTTCAGTCCCTCATTAGCTGAGTGCAAGGCAGAGTTCTGGCTTCACAGAGGAGCACAGTCCATGGCAGGCAGAAGGTAACGTAGCAACCAGGGAGGGACCTTACCCATGTCTTTCTGCCCCATTTACATTATATCCAGGCTCCCAGGATCAGGGTGGTGGCAAACCAATCAGGGGAGTGATTCAGTAATCGCACACCGCTGATTCTAGCATCACATGCTCTAGGTCCACTCGCCCCTGCAAAAGCCCCATCTACGACCGTATGATGCTTGGGGGACATTGAGACACAGCCGTAACAGGCAGAAACCCAGGGGCTGTGTGTGCTAGGCAAGTGCTCGGTGACTGAGCTACACGCCAACCCAACTTACTGATTCTTTAGCTGAAATGTTCCAGAATTTTTACTTCCAGGCAACCACTCCAAACAAAACTAAGTGCTGTTAGGCAGAAAGATACAATGAAAAGAGCAAGCAATATGAACTGAGCAGAAAGGGTTACAGCTTTGACTTTTTTAAGCACTCATAACAATGGACTAGTCATGTGATAAACACAGAAAAGAATCTTAAAAAATTTCAGAGTAAAATGGGAAAGTTACAGGTAAAATTTCATAGCTGGATTTAAAAATCACATGTGGGAACAAGTTAGAGTTGTTCAAAAAGCACAGGCACCTGTGGAAGTGCGTGCGTGCATGCCTGCGTGCGGCGTGTGGGGTGTGAGTAACCTGCCCAGCATGTTGAACTGGTTATGATTTTTTAAATTAAATTAGAATCTCCTAAATCTCTGGGAATTTATAGTGTCTAGAGATTGATAAATGATGCCTCAGTAGAGAGATGGAGCCAATGGCAGGGCCCTCAGTGTTCCCAGCTACTGTAGATGACAACTCCACTGCACGGGTGGATCACACTGGCTTTCCTAAATGCATCTGCAGAGTGCCTAAGTGTCACTAAGTCACCATGTTTCAGGAACCCTTGGAAAAGGCTATACTTTCAGGGATCATTTCTATAGTATAGGGACTCTTGGAAAGTGACAGCTTCTGTTATGATCTTTAACTTCTCCTTTAAAAAGTAACAACACTATTATTCAAAACCTGAGGTCTATCGGGCAAGGTTAGTTTCAATACAGTGGCAGTAATGTGGAAAGCAAAGCAGTTCTCATTACTAGAGTCATACTTCCTTCCCAATCCAATAAAAAAGCATGAATTATGAACTTGGGAACAAAGTTCTACTTTAAGGGAAAAGGACCATGGCTGGGTGTGATGGCACACACCTGTAATCCCAGCACTTGGGAGGCTGAGGCAGGAGGATTTCTGGAAGCTCAAGGCCAGCCTGGGCAACAAAGTGAGCTCAAAGCCAGTCTGAACTGCATAGCAAAACTCTGTCTCAAGAAAAAAAAGAAAGAAAAAAGAAAGAAAGAAAGAAAGAAAGAAAGAAAGAAAGAAAGAAAGAAAGAAAGAGAAAAATAAAAAGTCTGTCTATAAATCTCAAAGGAAATAAACATTGAGCATTAAATGAAAAAAAAAAAAAAGAAAAGAAAAGAAAAAGAAGAAGAGGCTCAGTGCCAGTATTTGGAAGGGATCCCTGTGGTTGGAGAAAGTTGAGTCAGACCCTGTCCCTTGTGGCCGCAGCCCCACATGGGCCACACTGCTGTGTGCTGTGGCAGGGTGGAGACCATGTGCTTGCTGTCATCTCATCCCACTGCCTAGCAGAAGACCCAACATAGATGAGCACTCAGTAAATGCCTGCGCAATGAAATAATTCTACAACTGGGAATGAAGACAGGGTTTTCTCAATTTATAAATGTGGGCTACAGTTAAGATACCCACTTTACATCAACTCCTGTTACACACACACACACACACACACACACACACACGTGCGCAGCTGAATTTATGAAGCAATACTTTCTTTGACACAGCTGCTACCTTCGGATAGTTTGTTTTCTATTCTTTTGGCATGACTTTTAAAACTGTGGATTATGACCCACTAACTTGATTAACACAGCAATGATGGGTCAAGACCAGGTATTTGAGAGAGTGGTACTATTTCATTTTATATTGTTTAGCCTCTTATAATTACAGATCTGACTAACTATAAATTGAGTCTTAAAAGTCATAAATTGTTTGATCCAGAGTTTAAGAACTATTCAGCTCAACTCTAGGTCTGTGCCATTCATGAATTCACTGTGTGGAATTCCCCTTAGCCGGTGTCAGTGAATTATGGGAATTTCCCCACCAAAGGCAAACTTGGCCCCTACCTCAAATCACACATAAAATTGAACTCAAAATGGACTGCAGATCTAACTGGAAGTGTTAAACCAATTAAACTCATGGAAAAAATATTTTGGAACAAATAATTCATGGCTTTGCATTCATCACTGATGGTGCCCAAAGAGAAAGTAGATAAAGTGGACGTCACTGAAGACTAAAACAACAAACAAACAAACAAACAAACAAACCCTCTCTACTCTGTGCTTAACATAACACCATCCAGGAAATAAGAAGACAACTTACAGGGTGAAAGAAACACAGATCATGTATCTGGAAAGGGCCTTGTATGAGGAATACATAACTAACTGTTACAATGCAATAAGAAAATCGGCAAAAGATTCAAATGGACTGATCTTCTGAGAAGAGCATAATAGCCAACAGGCACACAACAAAGGATCGACATAATTAGTAAGGACAGAAATGTAAATTAACACAATGAGATACCACTTCATTCCCATGCAGCTGGCTAATATCAAAAAGACACTGGACTGGCCAGATAGCTCAGGGACTAAAGCACCTCCTTAGGGAGGGACAGGGTGCAGGGTTCAATCCCCAGCACACTATGCTGGCCCCATCCCCAGGGCTTGCTGAGACAGTGACTGAGACTGGGTGTGGTGGCATGTGCCTGTAATCCCAGCACTTGGGAGGCTGAAAACAGGAGGATCACTATGGGTCTGATCTGTATAATGAGACCCTGTAGGCCCTGCACTAAATATATAAAAATAATAAAATAAAATTTTAAAAAACACACTAATGCTGCTACAGGTGGGTGACACTCCTGTATCACCAGTGGGAAAGTAGAATGGTACCATTTTATACCCTCCCCAGCCACATAGGCTTCTTGGCAGTTCCTCAAAGACATAGTCACTTCACAGTGTGGTGCCCAGAGTAGTAGTCCCAGCACTCAGAGAGGCTGAGGCAGGAGGCTGCAAGTTCTCAAGCCTAAGGCAACTTAGTGATTTAGTGAGATCCTGTGTCAAAATGAAAGGAAAGAAGGAAGGAAGGAAGAAGCAAGGGAAAGAGGGAGAGATGAGGGAGGGAGGGAGGGAGGGAGGGAGAGGGAAAGGAGGGCAGAGAAAAGGCTGGAGATGTAGCTCAGTGACAAAGTCTTGGGTTCAATCCCCAGTACAACAAAAACAAAACAACCAAAACACAGTTCTCATGTGATCCAGCAAAGCTGCCCCAAGAGAAACAAAAATATTTACACATATAACCATGCACATGAATGTTCATAGCAGCATTACTCACAATAGCAAAAAAGAAAGAAAAAGAAAGGAAGGACAAAAGAAAGAAAAATGAAAGAAAGACAAATAACTTGCCTGTTTTGATGGATAAATAAGCAAAATGCAGTGTCCATACAATGGATACAGTTTGTTTGCCAAAAGAGAAGTGACACCAATACAAACCACCACATGGAGGCACCTTGGACACATTATGCCAAGTGAGAGAAGCCAGTCCTCACAAAAGACCTGGTGTGGTACAGTCGCATTGGTAGGAAAGGCCCAGAATAGGGAAAACACAGAGACAGAAAGCCAGCTAATGGTTACCTGGGCTTAGGGGAGAATGGTTCTCTTCATCTGGAAGAAGTTCTCTTTAGAGATGAAATTATGCTAAAATTAGATTAGGGTGATGGTGACACAACCTGTCAGAGTTAAAAATCTCTCTGAATTGTGTATTTTAAATATGTATTATTAAAATTTTATATTATGCAAATTCCATCTCACTAATGTTGTTTTTTTTTCCTTCAGTGGATTACAATTCTGGAATGAACCAGGAGCAGCAGGCCTGCAGCTGCTCCATGTGCGGCGGGCACCTGCGCAAACTTGACCTCATTGAGGGTGGGCAAGGAAAGAGGATCTTGCCGTGTTCAATGGTCTGCTGTGTTCAATGGTCTCAACCCATGTCGTTCAACCTCCCGATTTTTAAAATTTTAGTCCCCATCTGCAGTGCTGACGCTGACATCCCGTGCTTGGAGCTGGCCTGCCCCGCCCAGCTCAGTTTTTCTCCTCTGCTGCGATGTCCTGGTCCCTACTCATCTCCCTGTTTCCTATTTTGCTCTGTCATTTATTTATGCTTTGGGTCTCTCATGTACTAGAACCTGCAATACTGAAGCCTGCCTGATTTATTTTGCCTGACACTACTGTCTCAAGGTGCACCCATTTTCCCACTCAGGTTTGTCCATCTTTATGGCAGAATAGTGCTCCTAACAGAGCACGGCGGCAAAAACTTCAGTTTCCTTGCCCAAACTTAACAGGTTTAGGGGCAGCGGGTCACTATCACACATCAAAGAACTGTTTCGAGCCACAAATGTGGGCTTTCCACGCTAGGGGAAAAAGGCGACCCCCACACATTGCCCCAGAGGGGCTGGTTCTCTTCTCCAGGCGGCCCCAGCTGGACCGAGTGCCCCCACCGCCGCTCCAGGCACCCGGGTGGGACGGACGGGCGCACGGGCGCGCCTGGAGGGACCATCCGGGGCTGACGCGGCGCAGATGCCGTCGGGTCTGAGCTCGGCCGGCCTGCGGGTCCCGCTCAGCTGTCGAGGGCGCGGCTGTCCGGAGGCGGGGCGGGATCGCCGGTCCGGGCCGCTCGCTCCGGTCGCCTCCCAGCGGCGGCCGCGCGCAGCGAGACCCGGCGGGCGGGACGCGGGGGCCGGGCCACTGTCGCCGGCGCACTGTCGCCTGCCCGGCCCGCCGCGCTCCGGGACCCGGACCCGCACCGGGACAGCGACTTGAACCGAGGAGACCGGGAGCCAGAGCCAAAGATTTTTCAGGTCAGGGTCGAGGGCGCGGCTGGGGCGGACCCGGGCTGGTGGGGTCCCGGGCGACAGGGCGACAGGGTCCCGAGCCAGGCACAGCATGAGGCGCGAACCGTAGTAGCCGGAGAGCCAGGTTCGAATTTGGGTTGGTCGGGACGCGCCACGTGCAGACGTCGGGGGCCGGGAAGCGCACCCGGGATGGGAACCCGCGTGGGCGCCCCGTGAGGCTCGGCCCCAGAATTCCGTGTCCCGCCGTGCGGCGACAGCGCTGGCCAGCGCCAGCGGGACTGCCCCAGCCAGAGCACGTCTGTGTGCGAGCGCGTGTGTGCGTCTGTGTCCGTGTGTCCCTGTGTGTGTGCGTGCGCTTGTGTCCATGTCCGTGTGTGTGTGCGCGCGCGCGAGTGTCGGTGTGTGCGGGGTGCAGGGTGCTGCGCTGTTCCCGGGTTCGGGCTGAGGCGTGGGGTGCCGCTGAGCTCCCTGCCCCCCCCCCCCGGGTTGGAAAGGTCGCGCCCGCCGCAGGGGCTCCCCCTGGGTTAGGGTCGGGATCCGGGTTAGGGTCAGGGCCAGGGCCAGGCCCGCAGGATCCCGGCCGCGGGTGGAAGGTGGAAGGTGGAAGGTGGGCGTGCAGCACTTTATGCCCCGCTGGTGGGGAGGAGCCTGAGCAGGAGGCAGAGCTGGGAGTAACCAAAGTGCTGCTTTTATATAAGGGCAGCTGGTAGGTAAAGAAGGGGCCTTTACCTCCGCGGGTGACCAGAAGGCTGCGTTTTCAAATTCTCCTGTAACTTCCAGCGTCAGGTGAGTGGCGCCCTGTGCTCGCAGCCTGTTGGAAGGTGTTGTGAGCTGCTCAAAACTTGCAGGCTTCTCGTTACTCCAACGCTCGCACTTTCTCAGTGTTCTCTTACAATAAAAATGTATTCACTTGGGTCTGACGCTAATGATAGGGAAAATCATGGCAAATAGTTCAAGAGGAAAACAAGCCAAAGAGTAGTTATCTGTCATGAAAAAAACCCTAAAATCTTCCTTCTTTCGAGATTAGGGATGAAACAAAATTAATTTGGGTTAATTCTTATTTGAAAATTAAGCTAGACAAAGTGATGAACTGAGTGGCGTGATAGCTATTTTGGGAAAATTCTGGATTTTGAGGTACCTGGTTGTATTGCCAACTGTTTGGACTTTTTTTTTTTTTAATCATTCATGAAACAAATTGTTAACTGCAGTTATTAAGAGAGCAATGAGTAACCTGCTCGGGGATCTGGTCAGGCCGAGGCTATCTCAGGTGTCCTGTGGCAGTCGCCAGCCTGCAGCCAAGGGATCGACCGCTGACTGGAAGCATGACTGACTGACTGACCGACTGACTGACTGATGGAGTGAGATGATTTTAAAACCTTTGTGCTGTAGGCACAGGCAAAGACATTCACAGAGGCTTCCCAGAGATATCTTCTTCTACCCTACTGAAAGCTTGACAGACGTGGACTCTTCCTGGTATTTCATAGATGCTAAACATTAGTCTTTGAAATGCCATTCCAAAAGATCCTGCTCCAGTTTTAAAGTAATTTGGGGGTTATACACTTTCAGTCAGATTCTCTGTGGCATTAATTATGGTACCACAGTGTTTATTTTCATATTTTTTTTTTAAAAAAGAACTTGAAACATTTCGCATTAGCCAAAGACTGGAGTGTGTTGTAAAACTACCTATTTTTTGTCTTCCTATGTAATTTGTATACCTTTTTGCCTTTATTAAAATTATGTGATGTTTGATATTTAATTTTCTGAACACCTCTTCAGTGAAAAGATCTGAGAATCAACTATGACCAATCTCAGTACATACTGCAGCCCACTGCAAGAAAAATAAAACCACTGATACTTTTATTTTTAATCAAAAATTTTTTCATAGGTTAAGTTTGCTTCTAGTTCTTATAACTCCTAGAAAACCATGGCATTGGTGAAATAATTAGGTTTTGGAGAATTTCAAACTGAAAACATTTTGGATGTTTTCTTATTCTTTTATATTTGAAAGGACGTATTTTTCTTTTTAAAAAATTAAACTGAAAAAAAGAATTAAACTGCCCACCAACATCATATTCTTTATTAAACTTTGGTGTTTTGAAGCTATTTGCAGTTACTACTTTAATAATTACAGTATTTTCTTCGAAGGGACTCATTTTCTTAATGTTTATGTATTTCAGAACTACTCAGTAAAAGATTCTAGATTACATCATTTTGAAAATCAATATATTAATTTCAAAATCCCTGTGACAGTTAAAATATATACAGGAGAATAAGTGTGACCTAGGGCACATGAAGCCGTAAAGGCTTACTGGTCATAAGACTGACTGTATTGAATCAGTAGGTTATATAACTATAAACAAATGTTTATTTATTTACTTATTTATTTCACTTCTCTAACTCTCAGAAAACAAAAATGTTTGACACTTACCTAGTGGAGCTAATTCTGTATGGAAGCTGAGGCAGAGGCACTGCTGTGAATACACAGAGTATTAATAACACATTTCATTTAGCTTTTCAGATTGTGAAATGGTTCTCAATAATAGGAAACTTCCATGAAGTAGGGAAACTATATCAAGATAATGTTTACCAAATGTTTCATGCATCCTGGCCCATTTTGTCACTTCTCTCATAGGATCTATACAAGCCCAGGCATATGACAGAAAATGTTGGTCCTTCTGATACGCAGTCATCTTTCTGTTGAATTTATTGTCATTGGAGCTTGGAAATACGCAATGTGTCATGAGGTGTGGCAAACATTCTGGAAGAAACTTTTGCTTTCATAGGATTTCACTAAGTAAATACTCGCTGTAGAGGGTTTTTTTTAAATCACTAGCCAAAAATCTTGATTTACATCATTAGACTGTAAACATAAATGCCCCTATGTTTAATTGAACTTCTAACATGGTTTTCTAACTTTGTGTGGTAAATTTCTCCATTATCTACTTCTTAATTTTCTTGATGTCTAAAGGAAGCATAAAAGACGGCACTGTTTACAAAGGTGTTTTGAAATTGGTCTAATTTGATTCCACTAAAACCTAGTACGGTCGGTAAATACTCATCTCAAAAGCATAGATAGCCCCATACCATGGAACGTGTCATACTTCAGTTAGTTTCCTAGCACATATATGAGATCAAGGCTAACTTTAAGATTTTAAAAATATCTTTGTGGATTTATTATTTGCTATTTGTATTTTCTCACAATATGGAGGCAAGTTTGGGAGAGTTATACAGTATATATTTTAAGCTATTTAATAAAAAACAGAAAGTTTTAATTTTTTCTTATCATAATTAGAATCTTGGAAAGAAATTACTCAAATATGATAGACCATACTTTGAGAAAATTTATGATAGATGTTAAGATGACATCTATCACTGAAAAAGATATATGTTGAAATTATAAATTTTAGAAATTAGCTTATGTGTTTTCAATATTTCTCTTCAGCCACAAGCACATGGTGCTGGGGGTGCACTTCACTGCCAGAGTGAGAGCTTGGCCTTTGCTAAGGCCCAGCCTCAATCCCAGCACACACACACATATGCGCGTGGGTGTGCACACACACACACACACACACAAGAATAAAAACACACGTCACAATGTAAATACTGAATATCCAGTTCTGAATGTAAATGTGTACATTGTTTAACTGTTTCAGTTATTATAGCCAGAGCAAGTCACTCATCCTTTCTAACTGTTTTCTCATTTAAGAAGGGAGAAAAGTATTAGTTATGATCTTTGCCTTGCTTCTTTTTTTCTTTTTTATTTTCTTCTCCTTCTCCTTCTCCTCCTCCTCCTCCTTCTCTTCCTCCTGCTCCTTCTTTTTTCGGTATGATTTTAAGACTTTATCAGCAAACCTGTGTATCTTAAAAGATAAGACCTTGTCCTGGGACTTAATTGAGCTACTGTCCTAAGAGAGCCTTTTGCGGCTATCAGTGTTGTAGCCGACTCTTACAAAAGTTACTAGTTCACATCGGTGCTAAGTTTGAGATTGTTATTAAAAATAAAAATTGTGTCTGTCAAGTTATAAAATGTTTCTGGGAATATTTCATTATTCATTTTAAAGTACTGTTTCAGCGGCCTGAGAGATAGCTCAGCGGTCTAAAGTGCCTGCTTAGGCAAGCTTAGGCAGAGCACAGGGACTGCATTTCGATTCCCTGCACCGTACGCTGCACCAGGCCCGCCTGGGCTGAACTGGCCGCAACAAAAAAGAAAAATAAATAAATAAATAAATAAATAAATAATAAAGTGCTATTTCCTATGACTTGTGACAGAGTCATCCAATAGTTATGCATATTCTGTTTTTGTCAGTCCTGTATTGTCATGTAGACCCCTCGTGTTAATACTGTGTTCCTCAAATGTCTGGAAGGCACGGCTCATGCATTTTACTTGATAAAAGCTCTATTCTGTACAGACACTTTTTTCTTTTTGAGGTGCTCAAATCAAGCTCAGGGCCTCATGATGCTAGAAAGCACTTTCCCAATAAGCTGCTACACCAACTTTCTACTCTTTCCAGATTTTTAGGGTGCACTCTGAGTGTATTTGATTTGTACCACTCAGGGCCTGGTTTGCTTTATGGTGAGGCCTGCGATCCTTTGGCTTAGGAGACAATTTAGTTCCAGAGTCTAAAACACCGAATAATGACTTCTGCGTGTCACTAAAAGTGGTCTCTTTCAACAAGCAGTAGCCAAGAAACAATCTTCTGGTGGCTGGAAGAGTTACTACTCCCCTAGTAACGCACCTGCTTATGAATAGAGAGTCACTGGAAGAGCTATGACTAATCAAGCACCATCCAAATAGCACATTTAAAAATTCTGCTTGGGTCCGAAATAATACATGAAATTGCAAAGTGCCTGCTGACTAGGAAAGGAAGGGACTTGGGCTGCATGTAGCAGGCAGCCGTTGAGTGGCAGCTGGCAGCACTGGTCACATGGGTGGAAGAGCTTGTGTGTTGAGTATGGGAACTGTTCAGTGTGACTGGAGGCCCTGCAGCTCCCTGGAAAGTGGGGTT